TCCACTCACCTCAGCCTCCCAAAGGCGCAGGATTACAGGCTGAGCCACCGAGACCGGCTTTAATTTTTTTGATTTATTGTAGAGATGCAGTCTTGCCACGTTGCCCAGGCTGTTCTCAGATAGACAGTGCTGTGTGAGCTGGTGCATTGCTGTGATGCAAGAGCTCCTTTGGGACCATTTTTGCACACACCTTTCTCATACCAAATTTTTCAGTTAAGATTTTCCCGACTATTTCTCCATTGATGTTTATTTGGTCTGCAATGCTTCTCACAGTCAGCTGACTATTCTGATGCACAATTTGACGAATTTTTGCAATGTTTTCATCAGTTCTGCTCATTACTGGCCGTCTGACCTTTTCATCAGTGACGCTTTCTCTCCCCTCAGGAAAATGTTTAATCCATTTGTATACTGCCATTTTCTTCATGGCATTATCCCCATAAACTTAGACTGACATGTTCTTGGTTTTACTTCCACACTTGCCAAGTTTAACAAGAAATGTAATGTTTGTTCATTGTTTTAATTCAAGCTCCAGAATTCTCATAATGGCACATAAAAATGTGCAACTACAATAAGGAATTCCACTTAGCAAGACACTGTCATGCATCAACATGAATGTAGCTGTGTGACGCTGATATACCCAGATTTTGAAACCTTAGAGTTGTTTGTGCAATGCTGCCACCATAAGCACACAGTGGCAAGTTTGTGAATTTAATTGTCAAAATCTGTATGGCATATAATTATTCTTGCAGCACTTTAGACAAATAAGCTATATATAATAAATCTAAAACTTATTTCACAAATAAGTTGGTCCTACTATGACTTGTTTTTAGTAGAAATGGATAACTAAAAAGAGAAAATTATGTTTCAAAAGAACTGTAGTACTCTTGTATTAGAATTCTCTTGCATATTATTTTTGAGTTATTTTCTATAAACTGCATCCTGAAGTCTTTCCTGGCTACACATCTCTGGACTAACATTATCACGTTTTTCTTCGGGTTTTCTGACTTGGAATCACTAGAAATTAAAACTATACTTTGCTGGGCTCGGTGGCTCAGCCTGTAATCCCGCGCCTTTGGGAGGCTGAGGTGAATGGGTTGCCTGAGCCCACAGGTTTGAGACCCGCCTGGGCAGCAAGCCCTCATCTCTACAATAGATCAAAAAAATCAGCCGGGTGTGGTAGCACATGCCTGTAATTCCGGCTACTTGGAAGGCTGAGGTGGAAGGATCGCCGGAGCCCAACGGGTCGAGGCTGCGGTGGCTGGGAGTGGCCACTGCACAGAGTGAGACTCCAACTCAAAAAAAACACAAAAAAAACAAAAAAAACCTCTGTACTTTTCTTAAAACTCTATAAACTAAAACAACCTCTGTGCCTGCCTGCTAATATATGAACTTCATAAAAAGTTCACTTAAATGCCTGATTCAAACTACAGTCCAGAAGTCAGGTTGCCACTGTAATCTGAGACTATATTAAAAAAAAAAAAAAACTCTAGGCCATTGCTTTACTAGACTGTGGTGTGGCCATGTGCTCTTTGAGCTATGGCCATTGCCATGTTTCTTAGCTTTGGCCTCCTTCCATACCTTGGAGAGGTGATTCTCCTCCTTCTCTCTCTAATATACTTTTTTTTTTTTTTTTTTTGAGTTAGAATCTCATTCTGTTGCCGGGAGTGGCCACTGCCCTCCAGTCTGGGCTACTGAGTGAGACTCCAATTAAAAAAATAAAATAAAATAAATAAATAAACTATATTTTTGAATCTAAAAAAAACTCTAAAAGCTAATTTATAAACAAATCTTGACATTAACCTTTGATTTTCTTCTGTCTTCACAGACAAGTCCCTTATTACAGATCTGTTTATCTGCATCATCTTAAAAAAAATACAAAAACAGCCTACCTGCAATACCATCTTTGCAAATGAGACATAGCTGTTTAATGTGACTGGTCAAGTGGAATACTTTCCTTTGTTAACCTTTGCTACTCAGCTTTTAACAGTTATTCTCTTTCACAGCCACCAACTTAGCTTTTAATATGTGGCACTTCTAGGGACTTGCTACACTTACGTAAATGTTACCGGACAAGTCAAAGAAGAGGATTTAATAAATTTTGTTAAGGTGAGGTGGCTCCTTGGTTTTGGAAAAGGAGCCCCTACGACACCATTAAGAACTCTATACCTTCTTTTTCTTGGATCATTAATTTATTGGACCTATTGTAACAATTATACTCCTGCTGATTTTCAGTCCATGCCTTTTTGTTTTTTAATTGTAGAGATGAAGTCTCACCAGGTAGCCCAGGCTGGTCTCAAAACTGTGGGCTCAGGCAATCCTCTCACCTGGGCCTCTCAAAGTCCTGGGATTATAGGTGTGAGCCACTGTACCCAGCCAGTCTGTGACTTTTTTAACTGCCTGGTTAAATTTGTTTTTTTCAGAATCAAGCAATTTCATGCCCGCATAATGATCATGCAAGGATTCCACCCAGTACCTACAATGGATGCCTGGACGCTTTAGATCAGGTAGGAAGAGATTTTTGATCTCTGTCTAGGTAGGCCTATGTCCCTTGTCAGCTTTGAAGAAGATACAAGACAGACCTTCCTCCCTCTGTACCCCGTATGATTATGGGATCAGAAATCTCTAAGTGGGGAAGTTGAGTCAGGCATAGTAAACATAGTTTAAAAGTAACTAGACAGATTTTCCTTTTTTATTTTTTTGAGTTAGAGTCTCACTCTGTCACTCAGACTAGAGTCTCACTCTGTCGAACAGCCTTAACCTGCTGGGCTCCGGCGATCCTTCTGCCTCAGCCTCCCAAGTAGCTGGAACTACAGGCGTGCACTACTAAGCCCGGTTAATTTTTTTGATTTATTGTAGAGATGAGGTCTTGCCAAGCTGCCCAGGCGGGTCTCGAACCCGCGGGCTCAGGCAATTCACTCACCTCAGCCTCCCAAAGCACGGGATTACAGGCTGAGCCACCGAGCCCGGCCTAGACAGATTTTCTTAGGCAGGTCTAATTTAGAACAGGGTATGCCTTCAGACATCTTTCTTATTCATGTGCAACTTTCACCTAACTGACCAGACATATCAGACCTGACCACTCTGTGGGTTAGAATGAGAAACTATCAGGACAGTAAATCACAAAAACAATGTGGAATTACCCAAAACACAGATTAAAATGTTCTAAGAAAAGTCCAAATCTAGTTAGACTGTAAATTTCATTATGTAGAAGGTCCTTGTGACCTTAAAAGGTTGAGAGATGGTATTCAAAACTCATGACCAGAAACCAGCAGCTCTCTGCTCTTAGCTCACAGTCTGCTTTTTCATCATTGTAAAAGTATATAAAGTTTCTTATCAAAGGCAAGCACATGCTCTTTCCCTTAAGGCACTCATGCTTTCCTTGAGCATGTCTTCTTCTTTCTAATAAATTCTTTCTTGAATTATACAGTAAGCTCCCTACACACAAACCTTCAAGTTGCAAACTTTCAAAGATGTGAGCATGCATTTGCAAGTCCAATCACGTTAGTTCACATTGTCCTGTTCACAAGTGGTTGTGTTTCTGTGTACTTTACTGTATAGTACCGTATAGAGTACAGTATCACAGTATCTTTATTTCAAGCCCAGATGTCTGGAAGCAGTGTAAAGTAGAGTGATGCAGGTAGTACAATATAGTAGATTGTGTTAGTTGGGTATCTAGGCTAAATCTGTTGGACTTATGAATGCGTTGAATGTGTTCATAAGTAGGGGACTTACCATACTTTGGCTTTGCTCTGAAATTCTTTTCTGTGGTAAAATCAAGAACCCATGGAGCAACTATACCATACCCCACCCAGAATGCCCCAAGCTCTGGAGTACCCCAAGCTCCTTCTTGCCTCAGGGCCTTTTTGTGTTTTGCTGCTCTGCTTGCAATGCTCTTTTTCCCCACTCTTTACCTAGCTAACGCCTACTAATTCTTTGGTGCCAGCGTAATTACCATTTTCTTAGGGAGGCCTTCCCTGAGCAAGTGTTTAGTATGTGTCAGACATTATGTAAGTGCTTTACATCATGATTTTATTTCATCTGAATTAAGTTCTCATTAAATTCTCCCACAGTAACTGAAAATTTTCCTTTAAAGGAATTATTATAGTTTGCTGTTAAATATATATTTGTGTGTTGCCTGTCTCCCTCAGAGACACTGTTGGATTTTTTCATATCTCTTTGGCTTACCTATGCATTGCCAGTGCCTAGTACAGAGACCGGCAAACCATAGCCACTCAAACATAACTGCTGAGTGAATAAATGCATGGGAAACATTTGGAAGGTGCACTGTGATCCTCTTTTCTTTTTCTTTCTCTTTTTTTTAAATTTAAATTTTTTATAATCAATATTTTTTATTATGATATTGTGGGGTACAGTTAAGGGTTAGGTATACAAATATGCTTTGTTCAGGCACCCTTGTTGATAAGAGGTGTCTCCCCGTAAATTTAAATTTTTAAACAAAGTTTATTAGAGAAAGAAGAGGGAAAAGAAAGGGAGACATGCCAGAGCTGGCATGGGTGAAAGAAACCACCTGGATCTTCTTTTCTCTTTCTGGGTTATCTCATCAAATCCCATGGTTTTAAATACAGTCTATATGCTGATGACGCTTCACTTTTTATCTCCAGTTAAAAGTTTTCTTTACTTAATCATCAGGATAATCATGTGAGGTAACCATTATTATCCCAATTTTCAGTTGAAACACCTGGGGAAAATTATATGTTCCCATGCTGTCATCAAATGTAGAGTTTCATGGATGTTTCAAGACACTCCTAAGAAAGTTCTGCAACATGGTGCTCATTCCAGAGTGCTGGCTTGTCTTTTTCTTTTCTTTTCTTTTCTTTTTTTTGGTCGGAGTCTCACTCTGTTGCCTAGGCAGGAGTGCAGTGGCATGCTCACAGCCACTACAGCCTCGACCTGCTGGACTCAGACGATCATTCCGCTTCAGCCTCCCAAGTAGCTGGAACTACAGGTGCACGCCACTGTGCCCAGCTAATTTTTTAAATTTATTGTATAGACAAGGACTCACCAAGTTGCCCAGGCTGTTCTCAAACCTGTGGACTCAGGCAGTCCACTCACCTCCACCTCCCAAAGTGCTGGGATTACAGGTGTGAGCCACTGCACCCGGCCTGTCTTTTTCAACATTGCTTTTGTTGAGTTTAGAATTGAAGACCCTTGTAGGATTTGTTGTGTAAAGACACCTGAATTGATGGATCAACCAAGTTGCCACATGAAGATTCTGGTAATGAATGAGGTGGGATGAACTGGATAAGCAGCATTCTTTACAGAATTCAGACTTAAGAAAGCTTATTTTTGCCTTGGTATGCTGTGAGTAATAGAAAA